TGTTGAAGGAAATCTACAATAGACCATCTTGTTGTTTTTATTTAAATCTGTTGCACACTGAATAACAAAATTAAAATGTCAGTTTCTCAATTGGAGAATACTCAAATCAACAGCCATGTGCTAAACAAAGACCCTCAATTAGAGCACATTATAGTTCAATTTGGGAATGAATACATCAAGCCAAAAAAAAAAAAAAAAACCATACATATTTTGTGTGTTTGTGTGCACGTGTGTGTATATACACAAATGAAAGTCCACGATTTCTGCTTTTCTATCTCCATGTTCCTCCTCTTCAGGTATATGAGATATCCTCCATGTTCAGAGCTCACAAATATGTATATTAGTTCTTGCTTCTAGTAAAAAAAAAAAAGAGCCAGTTTTGTTTTTCTCATGGAACCTGTTTGTACTTCAATGCATATTTAAGAATCTTATATTGTAGAAATGTAATAGGATGCCTGCACAAGGTGTCCTAGAACTATAAATATACACTATTATGTAATCAGTGAGGTTCACACCTAGGAAATCTAGATGGAATGGTTACCCTGAAGCATGTCAACAAAAATAGGAAGGTTCAGTCCTTTCCTTGTTGAGTCAGTGAGAACAAGGAAACGCTAGAACAGATTTAAAGTAGCCAGAATAAGGAAAGTAAATCCTTATGAATCATGAAGTGATAAAAACAAATCGTTCACTTTATTTCCAAATGGTCCTATACAAAGACTTCTACAACAGATTCTACCGAAGTACAGGAAGCTTGTTTTTCTGCCCCCAAATCAGAATGCCTCTAACCAAAGAATGCCTCTGATGCAAATGCATGTGGGTATCTTTTATATTAATATAGGGTTACTGTGAGACTGGTACGGTAGGACCACACTCTCTGATTAAGTGTGGTTTCTCCTAAAGTCATTATTCCCAACATTCATCAGCCAGAAATGACACAGCTCTTTAAGCAGGAAACCCAAGCAAAAACACTCTAGACCTGGCCTACTTGGGCCTGTGTGAAGAAAGGTAAACGTCTGACTCTGTTCATCTTTGGTGGTAGTACTCTGATGATGTCTGCCAAATGGAAATAGGTCAAAAAGATAAGAACATTAGGAAAATGCTTTGTAAGCCAGGCTAAATAGTTTCATGTTGCTCTCTATTCATTATGCCCTAGCTTTTAGCAAAGCTTGATTTAAATATCCTAGCCTTACATCAGCTGTTCCATTGGCATGAGAGAAAGACTAGTGTTCACACTTGAATCAGAAGTTTAAACTGGACAAGAAAGACGGTGGCAGTAGTACTAAACCAGACCCTCAACACATGTTAAAAAGAAAGCCTGAAGCAGGAATGGTGGCATATACCAGTAATTCCAGTGACTAAAGAGGCTGAGGCAAGAGGATGTCAGGTTTGAGGCCAGCCTCAGCAACTCAGCATAACAGTTTAAAAAAAAAAATTAAAAGAGCTGGGGATGTATCTCAGTGGTAGAGCACGCCTGCGTTCAACCCCAGTACATAAAAAATAAAAAAAAGAAAGAAAGAAACCAAGCCTGAGAATTAACACTGCCAGGTCCAGTGATATCTCATAACCCACTTAGAGATTCTCTGAGGGTTGCAATCTTGGCGTTTCTTAATCAAAGTGGCAGGCTCCTCATGAATTCTCAATAACAGGCAATGAGAACTATGTAAACTATCAAGTTTCCTTATTTGCCCTTGCTGCTAGAAAAGTAAAAGTTAAGTCTAAATTGTCAAAGCTTTCCTCAGTTAAAATTATAGATAATTTCTTCTCCTTTTACTGACTTGTTCTTACCTTTTGTGGTCACAGTTTTGGTATTATCGATTTTTTTATTTCAAGCTTACTAAATCCTTTTCTGGAAAATGACTGGAACATGAGCCAATCAGTAAGTAAATTTTTATCATACAACAAGAAAATTACAAGATAGTGCTTATTTTAAAACCGTGAATCCTGGGTTAGCCTGTATGTTCAATAGTAAACAAGTAAATTGGGATTATACCTAAAAGTACAAAATTCTGAAGTAGAAACAGAGCTTAAACATAATCAAATCCAATCTACTACCCAATGCAAGTTTTTTTCTACAACTTCTCAGAGAGATTATCTAGCTTTTATCTGGATATTTCCAATGACAGTTAACAAACTCTCTTATAACGTTCCATTTTTTATGACAGCTACTTTTGATAGAAAGACCTTTTTCACATTGAGCTGAAATTTGTCTTTCACTACCAATCATTTCTAATTCTCCCAAAAGTCAGTCTTCTATTCATTTAAATATATAATTCTCACTTATCTAATACCAACAGTTGTCAGGCTTGTGCTAGGAACTTCATAAACATCGCTGTATACTATCTTTACAAGGGCCATGTAAGTTAGGAGTTATCCTCCTTGACACCTATTCTGATAAACAAAGATTATATTAAATTGCTGGGAACCAAGTCACATGAATTGAATCTGCCTTCAAAACTGGAAAGAAAGCAAACTTTGATTGGATCAATCTGAACAGAAAATTAAAGATGTTCTAGAGCTACAATGGGACCAGTGTTTGGCTCATGGAACAAAACAGTAGCAGGAAACTCATTTAATAAGAGAGCCATCAGAGAACTCTAAGCCATAATTAAGGTGACATCTATAACACTGCAATTACAACCTGACCAGTAGTATAAACTCATCCTCCAAACAGAAAACTTCCCATGTTCTATCTTAGTAGACACTAGAGCAGATTCCCAAGAGACCTACATTTTACTCACTTTAGTACAACCAAAAGATCATGTTTTGAATACATACTGCTTTGGTGTTATGGAGTTAGGGGGAAAACACAAAACATGGACCTGCAACCTAGGAGGAAAGAACACTGTGGTGAGCTGAGCAGAGCTCCCAGACCCAAACTAGGACTTCGGGATTAAAATACACCATGTAAGGTGGTCTTTTGGGCCACTGGAATCCAAAAGAAAAAGAGAATAAGGTGAAAGGGAAATACTGATAAGTCCTCTCTTTGCCTAGGTTCTCTCCCTTTTCCAAACAGGATCCAGTCTTTTACCTTCATTGACAACTGAACAATTCCTTTGACTACCTTTACCTCTAACTCAACACGCTCAAGCCAGAATTAATTTCCCTTTAATCCTTCTCTCACCAAATTTCTTATTAAAGACATCTTCCAGGTGTAAAAACTTCACTTTTTTCCTTTTATGATGTCCTTCTTAATTTCTGCACTATCTTTTTTTTTAATTTTTTTTTTTAGTTGTAGATGAACACAATACCTTTATTTTATTTATTTGTTTTTATGTGGTGCTGAGGATTGAACTCAGCGCCAGGCAAGTGCTCTACCACTGAACCACAAGCCCCGATTTCTGCACTATCTTTTTTTTTTTTTTTAATATTTATTTTTTAGTTTTCGGTGGACACATCTTTATTTTATTTTTATGTGGTGCTAAGGATCGAACCCAGCGCCCCGAACATGCCAGGCGAGCGCGCTACCGCTTGAGCCACATCCCCAGCCCTCTGCACTATCTTTTTAAAGCTGAGATCCACTGCCATTTAACAGACATCTACTCATGCCTATGATGCACCAGGCACTTTCTATGCACTTGAAATACATTAGTGAACAAAATAAAGGTATCTGCTTTCATGAAGTTTATATTTTAGTAGGAAACAATAACCATAGTAAGAAAGTATACATGGTAAGTAAATACTGATATCAGAAGGAAGGGTTACAACAGAAAAGCAGAGTAGATAATAACAATTTTTTTTAAAGTAGTCAGGGTAAACATCACTGAGAAAAAGGTGACATGTGAACAAAGACTTGCAAGTCATGAGGGAGGAGGCCATGGAGATTATGTGGGGGAATAAGAGCATGCATGCAAAGAACAGATCAACTCCTCTGATGTTTGAAATGCCACAGAGCCACACTTCTACTCCATTCCAGATGCCTTCAAAACAACTCCCAAACCTCCCTAGGTAACTCCCCTCTGCTCCATTTCCTCTGGCATACAAGAAAACATTTTTTTTTCCATACTAAACAACCTGCCTAATTTTCAAGGCCGATAATTCTCTCACCCTACCTTTTTATATCATGACCTTTTCACTCTTTCTTTAAAATTCTTGAAAGGCAACATGTTACTTCTCCACACATGTCATCTTCCCCAGCCTAGGAACACTTCCCTTCCAGATGTCATCCACTCCAAACCCTGCCATGCTGCAAGGCACAGAGATCAAATCCCATACCATTTCTGTAAAGTAGTCCTCATAGTTGCTATTACTGAGTCTGAATATACTATATTCCTCCAACCTTGAATTTCTTTTCTCTTTCTTTTTTTCTTCTTCTCCTCTCCACCCCCTGCCCTGTACTGGGATTAAACCCAGAGTCTCACACACATAACTATCACTGAGCTAAACCCCAAGCCCAGGCTATTTCTTAAAAGCAAGTCAGTTTCATCTTTTTTAATACTTCCCATCATGTTGCTCATTATTAAAACACTTTTTTAAAAATTCTTTTTGTGCTAAGATTTGAACTCAAGGTCTTGTACATGCTAAACATACACTCTGCCACTGAGCTACAACCTCAGCATCATTAAAAAAAAAAAAACCACTTTTATTAGCTTTGCTTAACTGCTGAAGTGGAATGATTTTTACTTAAAAAAAAAATGCACAGGGACAGGAAAAGATAAACTGTTAATAACAGATTTTTCCCCCGTAGTTCAAATTTCTAGTTCCATGCTTGTGTTACTTACACAAGCAAAGTTTTCTATGAACATATATAAATTGATAAAAATAAGCGATCAACTATCATTAGTGAAATTCATCAGTGAAATTCAAATTATCTTAAAATATAAGGTCAAAGATGGCAAACACCTGAGTAAACTGCCATTGCAAAAGAGCCAAACTGCAATTAAGACAAGCTGAAGCAAATTCCCATGGCTGAAAGAAGACATCCTTCCTGCTGAAGTAGCTCTAACAATATATTTACTGTATAAAAAAAAAAAGCAGCACAATAAATGCAAAAGAGCACTTACCCTGAAGTGCTTACATGCAGGCTGCTCCATTGATTAACAGCATGACCTCAGTTTCCTTGTTTGTCAAATGGAAACCAGATGCTCTTCTATTTATAAACGTTCATAGATAGAAAATAGGTCCCAATACGAACAAACTCCTCTGGTCAACTCTGATTATCCAGGCAAATGGAGTTAATGGTAACAAACAATCATTTGAGTTTCAGAGTTTGGACTATTGTTAGTCTACAATTGTTCTAATTCAAGAAGGGTCTTCCTTTCATACATTTATGATCAAAGGATGAAAGACAAAATACTAACATCTTTGGTAATTGTTAAAGAGAGTTGAAAAGAATGGTTAGAATCAATGTCATCAAAACGAAGATATACACATAAAAAGATCAGTAAATGGTTCTCGATTTAAAAACAAAACAGAAAAACACAGATATCTTCTGGTCACCCGGACCTGGAAACAATAGGGCTTAAAAATAATCTTTTGGGAATTAATCAGCACGTAAGTAAAAAATTTGTATGTTACTACACAACTACCATTCAGGGTTGGTTATGAGAATTAAATGAGATAAGGCAGGTAGAATGGCTGGCACATTATTATATTCTTTCAAGAAATGTCAAAGCAACCCATGTGTACACAGCCTGCAAGTCATTCTTACTAAAGTTAGAAATTATTTCATGTTGCCAAAATGAGCAAGCAGTTTTATAAAAGGCCAAACATGATCTATAAAATTGGACCCCAAAACCTAATCATATGTACCCTGTTAGTGCTTGATAAGGGATGTCCAAAAGGAGAAAACTGACAAGTCAACCAATTTTAAGTTCATGCTGAAGATAAGCAAGCACCAGACATCTAATAAAATCTACCTGTAATATCTGGGCTGAAAGCAAACCACACAACTATGTATACAATTCAGAATGGCAGCAAATTTTAATGTTTGTGGCAACTGCTTAGATTTGTCATTGAGAAAATGCAATTAAGAAAGGCATTAAATAATAGCCTATGAATTAAGAATTTGGTTGGGTCAAGATAGATCATAAATTTGAGAAAATTTCCTGGAGCTAGTTCTATGAGACAAAACATAAAAATCCCTGAGAGACATGCCAGCATCTGCCCTTAATTCCAGAAGCAGGAAGCAAAGATGTGACCCAATCACATGCTATCAAACCACAGTCCATCTGTTCAGAGGACGCTGCATTATGTAAGACATGACCAAAAAGAACAGCAAAAGGAATGTGGTCAGCCAACATCTGCAGGGGGCTCTGTGGTCTAAAGAGATATGCTCTTATATCAAAAGGGCCATTCGTAGGGTAACAGCATTTTCAAAACTCACTTCAATTATACATGAGCATATCTGATGCAATATAAAGGCATTACAAGAATGGTGTAGAATCTGGATAACTTTCAACCAGACCTAGAACCTTTCAGCAAGGGTCACCCCCACATTAGCACCCCCCTGCCGCAACAAGAACAAGATTTATCTTCCACATGATTAGTTTGATCACAACAATTCCCTTATGCAATTCCAACAGCAAAGGATATCAACTAAAATTCTAATCTAACCAAGGTTGTTCAGATCCAGCCTAACTCAATTATACTACTTAACCCAAGATTGTCTTCCAAACTACTACAAACTCACTTTTCTCAATCAGTAATCACTATACCAGGTGTCCTTTTATCAGCAATAAAAAGAAAAAAAAAAAAAAAGAAAAAAAACCCTGACCTTTCCTTTGAAAACTTTTAACCTATAATCATTCTCCCTCCCTCCCAACTGCAGAACTCACTTTTTTTTTTTTTTTTCAGAACTCACTTTTCATAAATTCTGAGAAATTCAAGACCAGTTTCACTTAGGGAGGTCATCCCACTAATCCTATTCCTCCTCCATCTTTGAGTTCTTCACATTTTCAAGATTTGGAATCAGAAAAGCATTGTTCCTGGCCAAGTCCTACCCTTGTGCAACCCTGAGGAATTCACTGAATCTGAGTTGTATTTTTGCACCTGTAAACAGAAGTGATGATACACCTTTGACTTTACCATTAGAAAGCCTGGCGGACATCTCATCATGTTATTTTCCATCACTCAGCCTATCTATGTTACCTTTCTGTTTTGTTTCCAACCATTTACTGTAGTTTTTAGGATTGGGGTTGGGGGTGGGGGAGGGGGGGAATAGAGGTTAATACATCCAAACCCTACAGTACAGAATAAGAAACCTATTACTAAAGAGTAACTTGTCAGTCAGTCAATAAAAGCTTTTATTTCCTGTCCTAAAGTAGGGCCCAGGTCAGTGGGGGATATAACTTAAAGAACTTTAATACTCATCAAATCCTACTGTCTGCCTATCTGAATTCTAGCCACACTTCAAAGCCAGTTTAAGTCCCACAGTGTCCAGGAAGGCTTCCTCTGACACTCAACCTACACTATTTCACTCTTTGAATACTAATGCTTCTATACAGGAGCGGAATTAAAAATATGTAATAATTGGCACTACAAGGGTAAAAAAATCAATCAGAAAGGATATTTACCCAATCAAAACATAAGTGACCCAATGGGAATTGCTGATTGAACATCAGTCCTAATTACTACTAACAATACAAAAGAGTATCCTGAAACTCAAATATGCACACAGCTTCTCATCTGATCTTCACAACCATGTGATTTAGGCAAAATAGGTTATCACCCATTTTCTGCAAAAGTAGAGGTGAATTGGGGACTAATAACCAAATCAAATAACTGCTTCTTTCATCACACTATATAACATTTCCTGGTTACATACAGAGAATCATAAATTAATATTGCATAACCTATACTAGCATAAAATAGTAGGACTGCTCAAATGGAATTCATTTAATCAACAAGTATTTATGCAGAACAGGATATAAAACACAGTACTAGGTTCTGAGGACATGAAAGAAAGAAAAGGTGTGACTCTTGCCCTCTGGGTACCTAAAATACACCAATGCAGTTAAATAACAGTGCAAGATGGCAGAAATGGACAGCACAAGCTTTAAGTGCTATAGGGTTCAAGGAAGTAAAGAGCTCAAAGAGAACTAAACCAGTATAGGAAGTAAAGACTGAAAATACTCTCCTCATGCTCCACAAAAGATGCAAATTAAATATGTAGTGAAAAGGCTCAACAATCTGGAGTTAGTGGGAAAATAGAGATTACTGGAACTGAGGGTTTGCAGTTGTGAGAAGTGAGATTTCTGATTGGATTCGCTAAGATGACCCAATCAGAAGCCTCAAGGTTTGCTCTAGGTGCTGACTACAAATGGGATATCCTATAAATTTGTACAGGATGATACAGGAAGATTAGCTTGGCAATAGCCCATGGAAAAGCCTAGAAAAGAGAAACACTGGAAAGCAACTAGATGTGGGTGATAACAGGCAGAACTAAGCGGATGGCAACAAGTCAAAAAAGGCAGCAGAGTTGAGTTTTAGGTATAAAGGAAGTAAACAGCATTCTCACATGGGATATGTATGTAGATATCGTGGTACTAAACTGTGTAACAGGGACAATAAACCAATTTCCCTACAGCAATTTATGTTGGAAAGACCAGAAGCTGGGCAAAGAAATACAAAAGTGATCCTCAAACAATAAGGAATGATAGCAAGTCTTAAACAGGGAAGCTAAATTATTTAAAAAAAAAAAAAAGTGCACTTCTTCAGAATGTATAGAGTGAAGAACTGAAATATCAACTTAACCAGATCAGAGGAGGTAGTCTGGGCTTCAAGTAACATAAGCATTTACAACAACTTTATACTGTATGTGTGCCCACGTAGGCTGTGAATTCCTCCTGGGATTGGATGGAGAAATATTTTGAACATCCAATTAAACCCAACACTGTTTCTTAAATCCACAAACACTTGTAGGTGGAAAAGAGTGAAGTATTCTTCAAGTAGTAGTACTGAAATATTATTTTGTTTGATGAATAATTACATTAATTCTCCCACTTATTCACACAGTCATCCTGCCTTCCTCCTTATGCCAAGGTCAAAAGCACAATTGTTTCCTCTAATGCAGACCTGTGTAAAGGGACTCAAGAATGTGCGAGGAATCAGAGAAAAGCCAATTTGATACTCAAATTGTGGAGGCAAAATAAAAAAGTGAGTAATAAAATCAACTGCCTATCAGATGATTGAAAAATTAAAATGGGCTATGCTAATTTGGTGTATATATCAGGAGTATAGATTTTGGAAATAGTGAACAGTAAGTGCAAATTCTAACTTGAACACTTGGTAAATACTTGCCTTGCACCTCAGTTTTCACATCTACAATAAAATGGGGCAAAAGCCACTAGCCCTGATGGTTTGGCTGTGGGAATCAATGTACTTTGGTGTTCCTTACGCATTTACAAAATAATAATCTCAATAAACAGTAGCTATTAGTATTAATAATAATTGGCATCTCCAGTCTTAAGAGATTGTTTTTTCCAACATTTGCTACCCGATTTCAGAAACAGAAATGTACTTTTGCTCTATTTTAGTTGCTAATGTTGAGACTCTATATTTTAGTTCGGTCGCTAACAAAAGTTTTTCACTCCTACCCTCGCCAGAGTAGATGACAACCATTTATTACTACCCGATTTCATATTTTGGAAAGCCGCGCAAGCATTCTCCCTTGAAAACTAGTCACACAGACTTCTGGTTCTAAAATACTGTGACTGATTAAAAGGAACATCACAAGCAATGTTCCTTCGAGGAAATGAGAGCATTTGATCAATTCACAGAGTCATTCCCATTCAAACATTCCAAACCCTGCCGAGTGAGCAAACGTTCAAGTTTCTACTACGAAAACAATCCGTAGCCTTCTGGTTACTGGACTCACTTCAACACTTCCAGACGCACGAAAAGAAGAAACATTCCGCGCATCTTCGTGCCTCCTCACACAAAGCTTCGCAGCTCCCCTTCCACCACCCCCTGGCTGGAGAAGCAGCCCTTTCCGCAGGATTGGCCCGGGCCGGCGCCAAAGCCCAGGGCAGCACAGCCGAGCCGGGGGTCTGGGCTACAGGGCGCCCCCCTCCCACCGCCCTGGGACGCCCTTCGGGCTCAGAGCCCACACCCGGGCCGGGAAGCCGCCGCCGACCCCAACCCCGCCCGGGCCCTGGCAGCCCCGACCCGCCTGGGGCTGGGGTGCCCAGTGCAAAGCCACACGGTGTCAGAGCGGGAGGGCAGCAGCGGTTCGGCCAGTGCCCGCCAGCCTCACACCTCCGGCCCTCGCCCACTCACTCTCCAGGGCACAGCCCCAGACCTCGGACGGCTCCTCCCGACGCCACCGCCCCCGGGAAGCCCCAAGTGGGGCGGCCTCGGGCTGCCGGGCACGTCCGCCGCGCTCCGACCCACGCTCCCGCCCGCCTGCGGCTCGCGTGGCGGCCGCTGCCAGGGCCCAGCACCGCCACCTGCGCCCCCGGCCCCGCGCCATGTTTGAGAAAGAGCAGAAGCGAGCCAGAGGCCGGGCCCGGCCCGCGCGCCCCGAGGCCGCCCGCCTGCCCGCCGCCGCTCACCCGTCGCCCTCGGGAGCAACGTGGCGGCCGCTGCCAGCACGAGGAGAAGCAGCTGGCGACGCGGAGCAGCGGCTCCCGCCTCCATGGTCCCGCCGCCACCGCCTGTGGCCCGGCCCGGCCCGGCCGCCGCTTCGCCTCAGCAAGCCTCGCCTCGCCCCACCTCCCCCGCCGCCGCGGCGGCCTCGCTCCGGCCCTTTGTAACTGCTCCGGGGACGCGCGCCCATTGGCTGCCGGGCTCCCGCCGGCCCCGCCTCCCGCCGGCTGAGAGCGCCCGAGCGGGACCCGGCCCGGAGCCCCGCCCGCGGGCCCGTCAGACAGCCAATGTGGAGCCGCGGGCGCCAGCCTCTGGGCACGCCCCTGCACTCCCGGGGGCCGTGCTGCCAGACCCCTGCCCTAGCCCGAGCTGCTCCCGGCTCCCGGCTTCGGAGGCGAGTGGGGGCAGGGTCTAGCCAGCCCCTGGCCGGCAGAGCCTTCAGCCCTCTTAGCGCGGGGCCGAGCCGATGGGTGGGTCTCTGTGTGAGTTGCTTCGGAAAAAGACTGTGGCCACTTGACGCTCTTTTCTTTCACCTCCAACTGCACCATGACCCCCCCATTCACAGCCCTGCATCAGCAAACCCCCAACACGCGCCACCCAGATCGGCTCTATGGTCAGCCCCTGCATCTACTCCAACTTCCCCTCCCCAGACCTATGCCTCAACTTTCAACAGATCTCCGCCAAGACTCTTCCTCAGGGTCATTCATATACGACCCAGGCACCTATTTCTTACTACTCTTAGTGTCCACCCCAAACCTGGCCTCTCTCCCCAAATTCCAGGCCCCCAAACCTTCAGAATCCAGATCCTGAGCTCAGACACACCCCCGAGTAGCCTCCCTCTTCTCTCCAGAACAAACCCACACGGGGAGCCAAGCCGCTCTCTTGCCTTCTTCTAACACCTACTTCAGGTTGGAACCCGAGGGTCCCTCACCCCATCCCACGAAGGAGAGGGATTCCCTTACTTAGCACCCAGCTCCCCGGCGGGGCGGAGGGGGAGCAGTCATCATTACTTTGAGTTGTCTCCGACACGCCTGTGTAATAATTCTGAGGTGTCACTAAAAACCCAAATAAACTGCACTACGTTTTCATTCTGAATTCCTAATTTACTGTGAGACGCTCCACCCACCTTCCCTCTGGGACGCCAAAATGAGCTCCAGATTTGTAATTCTTCCTGTCAGACTAGTCCTTTCTTCAGACACAAACACAGCCAAGGAGGCTGTTCCATAGCACAGAGAACATTTTTCCGCAGAACCTTTTAAGGAAAAAATTTTATTTTGTGTGTGATTTGAACTAGAAATTAAATAAAGCTTGGTAGGAATCAACCAGCCTCCAGTATCGATTGGTAAATTACTGTAGAGCTGCTCGTTGAGCAAGTTATCTGAGGGACTTCCTTCAGGGACTGGATCTGGGGTCTGAGACCTGCTCTATTCTCCTCACGCTAGGACATTTGTGTGAACAAGTGAGTTAACCATTCCCAGCCTGCATCTCCTGCAACTTGGAGGCCTACAGCCTGCTATCTGGGGCTCCAGGCCCACCAGCAGCAAGCTCTCCTTGGCTCAGACTCACCCTGTCCAAAGAGACGGCCTCTAGTTCCAGGGGCTTCAATGGAGGCTTGACGGACCTTGTCACACCTGAGGTTTTTACACTGCCTTTTTGCTGTTCTGTTCTCAGTGGTTTACATGATATAAAACCTCAAGAGATTTTTATTGTACGCATGAATGCTTCATCTCAGAAAGTGATTGCTTTTCTCTAGCCATCTCTAAAATGTAAAAAATAATAGTACCTACCCCATTTATAAATAAAAGAGATTGAATCACATGTCTTGGGTCCCTTAAATGACGTAATGTGTCTGGAACAGTGTCTGGAACATAGTAAATATTTAGTTAATGCCATTTCCTTTGCCCATCCCCTTTCCAGCTCTGTGTGATTCCAATCAGCATCTAAGTTCATATTAATCCTTGCCTTTGCCTTACAGATCCTATGTTAATCAGTGTGAGGATCTCTTCTATGACACACCTCCAGGTCCTTAACATTTTCCATGGAATCAAGTGTGCTCAATAGAAAACTGAGGAACAGGAAGGAGAAACAGACTATTTTTAAATTTTATCTTCCTGATATTAGAAGGAAATTTCCATGAGCCACAGATCCATAAATAAGCTATGCTAGAATGGAACAATAAATTGTAAGTTTAAAATCATGGTTCTTCAACTTTAAAGTGTCTCCAAATTACCTATAGAGCTTTTTCTACTGCAGATTCCTGGGGCTAGACCTAGAAAGTCAGCTTCAGTTCCTCAGGAGGCAGTGTGGGAATCTGCATTTGTAATGAACACTAGCCCCCCACCCCTAACCCACACCCCACACCCCACACACACTGTCATTCCACCCTGAGTGATTCTGCTACACCTGGCCCAGATTCGCTTCAAAAGACACTGGTTTATTTAAAATTCAGTAAATAAAAATGAATGAGCCTGTTTGCCTTTGGAGAAAGCTTAGGCCATGGAAAGGAGCCTAGGGCTTTGAAGGCTTGGAAATTCTGATTGGAATTCTGACTCTGCCACTCACAAGATCTGGATCTATGAATGCTACTTGAGCTCTTTGAGATTCAGCATTCTGTAGTATAAAGTGGGATAATGACACCTACGCATGTTTGTGTTGTGAGGTCTAAATAAGCTATTGCACATAAGAAATTCATCATAAATGTTAATTCCTTCACTGTCTCCATAAGTTCTCAAAAAAGCTCAGAGGTTGTTGACTCCAATGACTTAATTTCAAGGGGGAAGAAACTGAGAATCATCCCCCAGCAAGTCAGCTATGGAGCTAGAACTAGAAGACTCCCTCCAATTCCTTGTCCCCTGAACAATGCTTCCTCTCAATCTTTATGCTGAGTATATTATTGCTTTTTCTTCTGGATTATTCCCTCAAGTAAGATGCTTTCTCCAAAATAGAGAGCAGAGGCTACTAGTTGCCTAATCTGTATTAATTCCAACATTTGCTTTATAGCAGATACTAATTTCTTTCAGGAAAGCAATTCACCCAGGTTAAAGAAAAAAAATCTCAATTTCCCACAGGCTTTTGCACCTAGGTATGCTCATGGCTGGAAATATGTTAGTTTTGTTGTTGTTGTTATTATTATTATTATTATTATTATCACAGTACTAGGGATTGAACTTGGGGCTCACACATGCTAGACAAGTGCTTTGCCACTGACTTACAGTCTCAGCCCCTTTCTTTCTTCAATTTTATTTTGAGACAGGATCTCACTAAGCTAAGTTGCTGAGGCTGGCTTTGAACTTGTGATCCTCCTGCCTCAGCCTCTCAAGTAGCTGGGATTACAGGTGTGGCCCACCAGGCACAAACAGAAGTTTACTTTCTACAAAGTAAAGTTTGTTTCCCCATAAAAAAAGAAACAGACTCATCTCATTTTCACTTTTTTTCTGCCTAGAACACAGTTGCAATGCCTAGAGATAACAATAGCCTCTTCTAAATATAAGGGTGACATCAGAAACTAGGGATAGTGGAGAGAAAAAGAGAGGCTGGGTTCTTATATATTCCTGGAACAACTGAACCAGTTCTGAAATTATTTCTTACTATGTGAGAAAACTAAAGCTCTTATATTTTTTAACCTTGGAACATTTTGCCTCTAGCCATAGGTCCATTCTATATATTATTACAGGTGTGGACATTATTATTGTATATTGTATTTCTATTTTAACCTACAAGTTATTATTAATTTATACCAATATATAAGCTATTGCTAATATCTTGGTACTCTTAACTGTATAACAGTCTACTCCAAAAGTTTGTAGCTTAAAGTAGTAACCATGTATTATTTCTCATGAGACTGTGGGTAGGCTAAGCACTTTCTCTGGTCTAGGCCAATTTAAGCTGATCTCAGCTGAGCTCTCCCAGGAATCTGCTGTCAGGTGACAGGTTAACTGGGGTGATGGTCTAGATCAGCGCCTCCAGGTGGTGTTTCATCCTCCAGCAGGCTAGCTTGGGCTTGCTAACAAGGCAGTCCAGAGGTCCAAGATAATGAGAGAAAGTGTGCAAGACCTCTAGAGTCTTAGATTTAGAACCATCACATCATTAGGTTCATTTCTACCACACCCTGCTGTTTGTTTGGGGCATGAATTGAACCAAGCCCAAATTTGGGGGGTAATATTATGATGCATATATATTTTGGGTTTTATTCATGGTTCCTGGCTCCCCAAGGTAGGCCATAGAATTTCTGGCTTCCCAAGGTAGGCCATAGAATTTCTCTTCCATGAAGCTGGTCATAGACACTAATCTTTCTGTCTTGGAACTGGCCATAATGAAATTCCCTGGCCTACCTTGCTTGATAGCAGATCATTAGACTGCATTGGAGAAAGGGTCCTACCCATCACCCCCATGAAGGAATGCTGCAGAATCTGAACAGATAGGCCTTGTTGAGTTTTCCCACCCAGATTATTAACATTGGATCA